TGTTAAATCTAATCCCTTTATTTGCCTAGCTTTAAACCCGACTCCACAAAAGAATCAAGCTAAAGAAATCAAAAGTACACCTTTGACTTTAATTTTGTGATAATGTCTTTGATATCTTGCTCAAGAATAATTTTATTAGAATCATTGATGACAATGCTTTACCATCTGTTAAAAATTTAGAAGAGCTTACATATTGCAAATGACACAATTCTTCTAATCATAATACCTCTAGTTGCAATATATTTCGTCGAGTGATCCAATCGGCCATTGATAAAGGACGATTGAGATTTTCTGAAGCTCAACAAATAGACCAATTGGATTCAATCGGTTTTGATGGAAAAAAAGGTTTCGAATCGGCTTACATTAGCCGATTCACTCAAAGCTCAAAGCTCAAATGACCAAGAGAGAGATGTGGAGCCCTCAAGTGAAGACAAGGTTGTTGTCTATGAATTGAAAATAGAAGATATTTTAGAGGATAACAAAGTTATCACAATTTCAGAAGACACTTGGGGCATGTGAAATCTCTCCGACTGAAGCAACGGCCGATTGATCCCGTTGAGCAAGAGGAATCGGCTAAGAATCCTTCTTTAGAGCATGTCTGTCAAGATGGGGAAGGGAAGGAGGATGCTCACAGAGTTATTGGAGGTAGAGGCCGTGACAAGAAGAAGAGTAGAAGGACGAAGCTCAGCTTCGAGGAACTTTTAGCTAAATACAAAAAGATAGTAGAAGCAAATGTCGCTAATCCGCCAAAGGAAGTCCAATCGATGGCTATATATATGACTGAATAGTGATCATGAACGACGACGTTTACGTACCCCCAGAGCTGCGGCCGCCGCGAGGCATGGCGGCTGGCGTCGGTACGGTGGTGGTTGGGATCGGTGGCCGCCGGCGACGGGACTGGAGGAAGGAAATAGATGGAAACGACGGGTGTATGGTCGTATGGATAGATCGAGGCGGGCGTTGGTGGCTTATATGGGGCTAATGCTGTCCTTTAATTTATATTTATATACATCCATGATCCATCTTCTTCTTCCGCAAGTATCAATCTAGGAGGAATATGGATGAAACATGGCCCCTCGCGATTTTACTGGAGGCGGTTGACACATGCATATGCATAGTATATTATACTTGTACCGGAATCTTCAATAGTTCTTTCTCTCGGTGCATTCATTTTGTTTGCGTCTAGATATAATATAAGTCTAGATAGTTATCAAATTTTATGTTTCAAAAAAGTCAAAACGACTTATAATTTAAAACGGATGGAATATTTGGTAAATCGATGAATTTTCAAAGTGGCGAAAACATTTATTGGGTTTGTTTTTTAACCGTTTTCAAAGTCTAGCTTCTAAAAGATATAAAACAATTCGGTAATGCTCCATTGCTTGTATGCGTCATCTCTGTGCGGATCTGGGCGCTTCACGTGACCTCACGTTATCCATGTATTGTACCCAACACACAAATATCAATACCCGCCAAATAGCCACTTAGACTTATTCTCTCCGGTTCCATCTCATCTCTCTCTCCTCCATCTCTCCATTCAAAGCAACAAGGAGAGGAAGGATGTCGCTTTCGATCTCGCTGCAGCCACCCGCCCAGCGAAGTGTCACGGCCATACCCCACCTGCTCTCGCAGTCTGCCGGCAAGCTCGCGGCGCCGCCAGAGAGAGCCCGTGTTCTTGGCGACCTCCGCGAGACATCCGACATCCACGCGTCGTCGCTGAGCTATCGCCGCATTTGCCGCTAGCGAGCAGCGTGTTCTTCGGCAAGCTCTCGCCGCGAGATCCGCGATCGCCGGTGAGCTCCGCCACTGGCAACCTCGTATCGAAGCTTCATCTTGGATCGAGTTCCACGTCGATGAGCCTCGATTCGACCAAGCAACAAGAAAATGTTGCGGTGAAAGTGCATATTACAAGCGTATGTTTCAAGAGTTCCTGGTGGATGTTGCATATGTTGCAATGGCTTATACACGTATGTTGCAAGTGTATTATTTCAAATGTTCCAAATATTACGTATGTATGTTGCAAGTGTTTTATCTCGAAAGTGTTGCATATGTTTCACATATATATTAGTGTTTCATCTTAATATTGCATATACTTCACATATGTTGAAAGTGTTTTATCTGGATGTTTCATATACTAGCTAAAAGGCTCGTGGGTTGCTAAGGGCAACAAAAGAAATTGAACTTCCCGACATAATAATCTGGGTGAAATATAACTATAGTAGAAACAAAATTTTCTTCAGTCAGATTCATCAACAAACTGAATGGTTGTGTTACCATACAGGCATTGCATTAGAAGATCATTTGTACATCTGAACCATCTTTAATTCATGTACAAATGCAATGTAAAGTTTTAGGTGGCATGCTCACAGATCCCATCGTAGAGCCACGAGGCTTGTTTAATGAGCAGCCAGCATTTAAGAGTGGGTTATTCCTGTGCTGATGCCAATAGATTCCCCATCTTGTTATTCCCCAGCAACGATGAGACTAAACAGAGTCATGCACAGCTATTTATCAGTCATTCAACATTTTCAGAACCTGAACTGAATGCAAGTATGCAACATCCAAGCAAAGTTTATTTCATCAGTCTTTGACTATGACACAACTTGGGAAGATAATATTCTCAACTCTACAAATCCATACATTCAAGAAGCAAATCTATTCTGTGCCATGGTTTGAGGTTAGCTAAAAGGCCTACCAAGTACCAACCGAAGAAAGCGTTTAAAAATGTTTTCTGGGGTAAAAAAAAAATTTATGTGTGGCTATCAATCCGCACACTAATACGACTCACACAACTCACATAATAATGAAATGCTGCTGCACGAAAAAAGGAATTGAGATATGCCTTTCTCAAGAATGTAGCTAGCAGCAGCAGTACCAAAACATTCAGATGAAAAAAATACTTCGATATATTATCAAAGCATAAACAGACCAAAAAGCCACATAAGAAAACTACCAAGATAACAGGGGCGAAGCCAAGATAAAACGCCTCCGGGATCGGTAAGCCTGTGATAGGTCTATTTTACAAGGTGTTTTGACGTGATACGATATTCTAAATTGCACTTTGACCATTTATTTATAAAGATTAAGATTATAATTACAGGATAGTGTATTTGATTATACAATTAAAAGAATCAAATTTTTATTACAATAGCTAAAAGTTGTTAGCTAAATTATTAGTCAATGATTATAAAGTCCGAATCTTGACCTATGTAACTGGACCGAGGGAGTATAATACTATCAACTAGAAGCATTTCCGGCATTGTTGCGAGAGTTGCGGATGAATTATAATGAAGTTAGACTAAATTAGTTATATGAAAGAATAAATTGTTATGAATTAATGGTAGGGAATGACGTGGCATGCTAATGACGACGCGGAATGGAATTGGACCAGTAGACGTGCCGAGTCAGGGAGAGGAATTCTCCATCAGTGCAAAAGGCCGAAGACCTAGCCTTGCCAGCTGTGATGTTTGCTGCACGTCCACGAAGACCGAAGGCCTAAGGCCAAGTCTACTGGGCTTGCCGCTTGCCCAGTACTCCGCGGTTTGCAAAGTTGCATCACAATGCTGGCCAACTGGGCCCTGCCGCGCTGTGCTGCAAGGTGCCTGCCGGGGGTTCAAACAATTTTTTTTGCCGGGGTCTACGCTGGCCAAAAGTTACCTGGTACCGAAGGCAGTTGCAGAGTCGTCGGGGTCGGCCGACCCTGACGCTACTCCGCCCCTGCAAGATAACTTAATGCAAAGATACATAGAAGGACCCAGGTTGGCTCTTATATTAATTATCAGAACTAAACAGCCTTGCTGTTCGCCAGCCGTCAGCGTCGTTACAACGTGTACAACATCTCAATCTACTTTAAAACATTTAGATAAAACATTCGCAACATACGTCTGAAGATAAATGAAACACTTGAGTCATACGTCTCAAAACATTTACAAAACATCTAAAAAATACTTAAAAAGCTATTGCAAAACATATACAACGTCCAGATAGTAACACCCAAAATAAACACACTTGCAACATGCTTTAAAAAACAGATGAAACATTTGGAACATATGCTTGCAACATGCATGTATAACCATTGCAACATATGCAACATCCCGATCTACTTTGCAACATCGATATGAAACACTTATAACACACCTCTAAAACATCTGAAACATTTGAAAGATACGGCTGCAACATGCGCTTTCAGCACAATGTCACTGATCGCTGGGCGAATGAAGGCCTTTTTGCGGGCTTCGTGGCGACGGCGCATGCAGCTCGCCGATGCCCAATGAAAAAGCACTGCGCCACCTGGCGAGCACAAGCTGACTGGCGAGCACTGGTGAGGCCATGAGCACCACTGGCGAAACACGTCTCAGGTCGCGTCATGACGGCACCTTGACATCTGAGCACCCCTTCTAGGTGAGCACCATTGTGTAGAGAGATTTTTTTAAAGGCCTGAGATGGGGTGGCGGGACGGTGTCGTGGCGAGTGAGAAGCCACGTCGGTCCATCGAAACGTCCTCGATAGAGCATTATCGTGAAAAAAGATAATCTCATCACAATAGCTTGCTCTGAAAAATCAAAAGCAAGCTGGCTAAGATTTTGAGAGAATTCTCTGTGGACAATTTTAAAAGATACGACTTCCTTGCACTGAAAAGTTTATCTTTCTCGTGAAGCACCAGTTCACAAATTTCCGTCCCCTTTGCGTCACTGCTGTGAACGTCGCCTCCAACATGCCTTAACTGGAGGCAGAAATGTCCATTCTGCCCTCCGCTGACGTGCTGGAACAGAGGAAGGAATATTACACTCTTGAACGAGGTAAACAGTCACCTGCTGGTTAATTTCCTGTGTTTTCCGATGAAATTGAACTGTGAAATTCCTCCTGCGAAATTGTGCATTCCGAGGGCCTGAAGCTCGAAGTCGTTACTAACCAAACTTTACTTCAGCGTGACAGTTTCAGTCTTTCAGACCAGAGGCGGGCACCCGGCCGGCACCGGGTCCCGGCGGCAGCCGGCAGCCATGGCGGACGCTGGGGTAACGGGGGTGGTGGCCAAGCTGGGTGAGCTAGCGGCGGAGGAGGCGACGGCGCTGCTGCGCGTGGACGCCGAGATCCGGGCGCTGCGCCGGAAGCTGGCCTATCTGCAGGCTCTCGTCCGCGGGGCCGACCGCCAGCGCCGCGGCCGCGCAAGCGAGCTGCTCCTGCTCTGGCTGCGCGAGACCAGGGAGGTCGCCTTTGAGGTCGAGGACGCCGTCGATGAGTTCCACCTCCGCGTAGAGACCTGCCGCGTCGGGGCCCGGTGGCGCCGGCGACGCAGATGGTGGTGGGGCTGGCACCGCGACGCTGTCAGCCTCGTCCAGGCCCTCGCCACGCAGGTGCTCATTCTTATTCATTTCTCATCCCCAACGAAACTTGCCTAATAGAAGTTAAGAACGGGGATCACTTTTTTTTCAATTGGGGATCACTTTATTTCTGACTTTTGTGACTTCCATTTTTTCATGTTAACTGATTGTTTGCTGAAATCGGTACAACTTGCAAGCTAGCCATGGTAATAGAGAAAAATAGGGAAACACAAAACGAAACTTTGCATCTCCTAACAAGAATGACAGTAGTTTCAGGGACATCCTATTACTGAACGTCTAGGCTCTAGGCAAAGATGCCCATCACCGCGGCATTACACATCGCTGTAGACATCTCGTATTTGTCCTTGTACTAATCTATATTCATGTTTACATGATTGGTTATGGTGCATTCTTCTTGAAACCCATCAATGCAGAAAAGGGAAAAAAATACATATACGTGGAGTCTATAAAGGGAAATATATGTTCACATAACATTGATGGGGGTATTTCTTGGTGTCCATTCTATGCTCTGATCAAATTATGCCTGTGGCTACTTCATCCAGGACTTGAGTTTTATTCTGAAATTAACACTTGCGTTGCCAATACCAAACTTCTGATTTTTAGCCAACAGATAACATCCCTAGTTAGTTTCTATGGTCAGACATGCTTAGTGCCCATTGGGTGTCAGCTACTGTTGTTTGACATACCTCTATTTTCTGAGATTCTTGCTCCATAATTCAGCTCTTCTTTTCCAATCAGTACATCATTAAAGACCTTGTGATCTTTTGGGCAAATAAATGTGTACTCTATCCGGTCCAAAGTGCAAGTCATTTAAGTTTTGTTAGTCAAACTTTGGCCAAGTTACACCAAATTAGTTTTATTAAATCCACCATGAAATATGTTTGGATAGTGCATTTGTTTGGTATTATATTTTTAAAATATATTTTTCTACAAATTTGGTCAAGGTTAAAGAAATTTGACTCTCCTTTTATTTTTATTTGAAACCAGGCATTTTCTGTTTTGGTTGGTTTAGTGGCCCCTGTGAGTACATTTGAGGTTCATCACATATCTCTATGCTAATGGTTTGCAAATTAACATGTCTATGTTGGCAGATTTTTTATACGCCATGGGCTGTCAAATCAAATATCTAAGATCAATGAAAGGATTAATTAACTTAACCAGAACAGGACAAAACGAAACTTTGCATCTTCTAAACAACAGGACATGACAGTAGTTTCAGAGACATTCTCTGAACCTCTAGGCTCTAGGCAAAGATGCCCATCACTGTCACATTACACATTGCTGTAGACACCTCCTATTTGTCCTTTTACTAATCTATATTCATGTTTAGATGATTGGTTATGGTGCATTCTACTTGAAATCCATCAATGCAGAAAAGGAAAAATGCATATACATGGAGTCTATATGGGGAAATATATGCTTAGTAGATGGGGTGTTTCTTGGCATCCATTCTATGCTATGATCAAATTATGCCAGTGGCTACTTCATCCAGGACTTGATTTTTATTCTGAAATTAACACTTGCGTGGTCAATACCAAACTTCTGATTTTTAGCCTACAGATAACATCCTAGTTAGTTTCTATGGTCAGACATGCTTAGTGCCCATTGGGTGTCAGCTACTGTTGTTTGACATACCTCTATTTTCTGATATTCTTGCTCCACAATTCATCTCTTCTTTTCCAATCAGTAGATCATTAAAGACCTTGTGATCTTTTGGGCAAATAAATGTGTACTCTATCCAGTCCAAAGTGTAAGTCGTTTAAGTTTTGTCAGTTGAAATTTGGCCAAGTTACATCAAATTAGTTTTGTTAAATCCACCATGAAATATATTTGGTATTATAGATTTTAATATATTTTTCTATAAACTTGGTCAAAGTTAGAGAAATTTGACTTAGGACAAAACAAAAAACGACTTACATTTTGGAACGAAAGGAGTATTGATCAACGAATCTCTCTTTTTGTTTTTATTTGAAACCCCAAACTGCATTTGCTACTTTGGTTTTATTTAGCGAGCCCTATGATTACATTTGAGGTTCATCTCACACATGCCTCTATGCTAATAGTTTGCAAATTAACATGTCTATGTTGTGCAGATTTTTGTACGTCATGGGCTGTCAAATCAAATATCTAAGATCAATGAAAGGATTGAGGAACTTAACCAGAACAAGGAAACCTATCAAATTGAAAGTTCTCCTTCTAAAATTTGGAGTTCATCGTCAGTTGAAGTGGATCCTGAGTGGTACACTACTATCTGGTTTTCATTTTCTTTTTCTCGTTTTGTACTTTAATTTGACCTGTTTTTTTTTTCCTTATCCTGCATTCCGGTACGCAATTTCTTTTAAAGTGGTCCATATTCTGTTTCTGTGTTTCCCTTTTTTTTCGAAAACGCAGGAGAATTGCGCTTCATTATATTAAGAAGAAAAAAAAGGGGGGAGAGACCCCAGTTACAACACACACCACACCACTCCAAAATAAAAGTACAAACGCGCCTGTGGAAACAAAGAGGCGACCAAGACTAGACGTCCTCCAGACTACAGGGCTACAGGGGGAGGGGGAGGCTGGGAAGCCAAGAAAGATAGCCCCCGAGCCCCCGCCACAGCCCAAAGCCGACTCTCTTCTAGAGCAAAACCCAAAACACCACCCAAGCTGGGAGTAGCTCCGTCAAAAACACACCTATTTCGGTGGTTCCACAAGGTCCAAGCTCCTAAGATCACAAGAGAGTTGAACCCCTTCCTTGTTAACCCAACAGTAGCATTGCTTGAATTTTCCCACCACACATCAAAAGACAAATCTGAAGGCTGTGGACAGAATTGTTGGATCCCAAAGTGCTGGAGCAAATAGAACCAAAATTGCCGAGCAAAGACACAAGAAACCAGCAGATGGCTAACGGTTTCCTCCTCTTGATCACAGAGGGGGCACTGTGCCAGATGTGGCAGCCCCCACCTTGCAAGCCGATGTTCCTTTTTTTTTCTGTGTGCACCTCACTGCTACATGTAGATAGCGCTGCAAAATATCTTATGTTCCCAAAACCAATGTGGAAACATCTTTTCGTCCTACTACCTGTTCTAGCGTTCAAATGTTTGGCACTTCATTTCAACATGTATATTGTGATTCTGTTTAAGGTGATCAAACTGTGAAGGTGCATTTTCCTGTACTAGTGCAGTAGTTAGGTGCGTATCACTTCCAAAAATGTTGCAAGGTGCACGTACTGACCTGTTGGTAGATTTGGTACTATTAATTCAATATATACTGTCTCTAAAGCATTGTAACTTGGAATGTAGTACTGACTGTTGCGATTGGGATAGTCTTTCAAGATGTAAGAAGAGCTAAAGAGTTGAGTGCGCTGGCCCATTTACCATGTTCAGGAGTGTGCAAATTACCAATCACTTTATTGTGTTTGATTGAATGGAACACAACTGCATCATGTAAAGGTATTATGTCGATCACTGTTAGCCAGCCCCTGTTGTTTTGCTGGTGCAAAGGGTCTTTGAGCCATATGGACAGCCTAACCAAGTTGGGAAGGCCTTTCATCTAGAATTTCAGTGGAAAGTGATTAGTATGATCTAGCATAGGGTGAATAGGTGTTCTAATTTCTCACTCACTCCCTTGCAGGTGAGAGATTTGTTTGCACCGTTCCCTGTTTTTGTTAGTACAATGATACACAGCTCCACGTGTTTGATAAAAAAAAAATGTGAGGCCTAAGATCATATTTCTATGTGTCCCTGCAGAGAATTATGAACCTTTTAGTGTACCATTGCAAAGTGCCCTTTACAAATACATAATGTGTCAGTCCCCTATTTTGTTATATGCAATTTGTAAGTGTACTATATGGCTGAAACTAAATCGATTCAATATGAAATAAAACTGACTGAAACATTCTGCAGGTACGAGGATAAATATGTTATAGGCTCTAGAGAAAGTGAATTTGCTATCCTTAAGGACCTAATCATCAACAAAGAGGGAGATATTTCTCACCAGGCTGTCATCTCAATTTTGGGGGAGCGTGGCATTGGAAAGACTACACTTGCAAAAAAGCTGTACAATGACCCAGATATCATAAAACACTTTGAGGTCCATGCATGGGTATGTCTTCCACCACATATCAGGTTCAGGGACTACATTGAGATTATGTACATGCAGGTCAGCTCACAGGTTCCAGAAACTCCTGAGAAAAATGATAGTACAACATCTGCACCTGGTAATGAAGAAACCACCGATATGGAATTCAAACTTTGGCAGAACCTTGAGAACAGGAGGTACCTAGTTGTTCTTGATGGTTTAGTCAGCATTAGTGACTGGAACTCGTTATTTGCCGTGCTGCCACATACCAATGGCAGCCGGATCTTACTCACCACACATCTCAATGTGAAGGAAATCAATCACATTGACCCACAGATAGCTCCCATTAAGCTTCCTTATCTTGACGTAAAACATGGAGAGGAGTTATTTTGTCAACGAGTTTTTGGGACAATAGAGCCTCCACAAATTTATAGGAGCAAGGGTTACTATAAAAATGTTCACAATATATCAACAGGTCTACCCCTGGCAATTACTGTGCTTGCAGGAATATTACGATCAAAGTTGATTCCCATGGAGTGGGATGTCATATTTGAACAACTCGAGTCCAATGGCCAGCCAAAACCAGTTAGAAGCATATGGTCTTTGGCTTTTGATGACTTGCCACACTACCTTAAGTCATGTTTCCTATACTTCGCGTCCGTTTCAGAAAATGTCATTCTTTACCCAGATCGTTTGGTGCGTCTGTGGATTGCTGAAGGTTTTGTTATGCCAAAGAAGGCAGAAACACTGGAGGATGTTGGGTTTGACTATCTAAAAGAACTGGTTGCAAGAGGGTTAGTGCAGGTCATGGAGAAGGATGCTGGTGGATCCATCAAGCTGGTAGCCATCCACAATCTGCTCCATGCTTTTGTGGAGTCTGAAGCACAGGACTCTAGTTTCCTTGAAATCCACCATCATGCTAATGTTGTAAACCCAAATGCAGTGCGGCGCCTTGCCATACAAAACTATGTGGATGCATATGTCCACATACCTAATGTCTTCCCCAAGCTGCGTTCTCTTCTGTGTGATTTTGCAGAAGACCAACGCAGTAGCTCAAGCTTTGGAGAGCTGCAACCTCAGTCGTTATGGGGCAATCTTGCAGAGTTGTGTTCAAGAGCCTGTGGCATTTCGGAGAATGTTAGCTCAAACACATTGCATGGACTCCACTTCTTACAGGGCTCCAGATTCCTACGAGTTGTTGACCTAAACGGTCTTAAGATGCAAAAGCTGCCAGATGAGATCGGCAACATAATCCACTTGAGGTACCTTGGTATTAGGAACAGCAACTTGGAGGAACTCCCCTCATCCATCTATAAGCTTGACAATCTCCAGACGTTGGACGTAAGGAAAACAAATGTGGGGAAAATTGTCGATGAGTTTTGGGACATCGAAGCACTACGGCATGTGCTTGCTGAGAAAATGCTTTTGCCCAATTGTTCAGTTCCCTTGAATAATTTGATGACACTCAATGGTGTGGTGCCTTGTAGTTCGTGGGATGAAAAGAACTGCCCCTTGAACAATATGATTTATCTCCGATCATTGTCTCTGTCTGGCATTTCAGCAGCCCATACTATCGCACTTTCAGCAGCTCTGAGGAAAATGGAATTCCTTTTGTACCTGAACTTGTCAGGTGAATTTCTTCCATCTAGCATGTTCACCACCTCAAGCATGCGCCGTCTCCAGGCCCTCATCCTGCATGGTAAGCTACAAGGGATTAATGATCTGCCGAGTGGCCGCTATGTCCTACCAAACCTTACCATGCTCTATTTGCATAAATCTGAAGTGTCACAGCAGTTTGTGCACAAGCTTGCTACACTGCCATGCCTTGTTGAGATGGAGCTGTCAGCTGTTTCATACAGTGACACGACACTGTTCTTCGACGGATTCCCGAGCCTTGCAAGACTGAAGCTTGAGAACGTGTCTATGTTAAAGGAGCTAGTGATAGGCAAAGGGGCCATGCCAATGCTTTCCATCTTAGCCATGTATGATTGTGACAGCCTGAAGACCTTTAAGGCCTTGAATGGCTTGGAACACCTCCAAGAAGTGGCAATCTACAATATGCCGGAGATTGTTGATAACATAAAGCTTCAGGACGAGAAGCTTTTCAGCAATATCAAATGCCTGACTACCCCCAGGATGGTAACAGACCGAGGAGGCTTTCCAGGTCGTTTTGTCAGAATGTTGGGTCGACCGGATCATGTACTACGTGTCGCAATGGCTTCTGAATCACGTTGCAGTGACATGTAGGATGATGATCACGGTGAAGGGAAAGCAACAGACGAAGTACATTATGGCCCTGGTCCATGGTCCATTAAGTCATCATCGGAGTCCTTAGCATCTTAACATATATCAGTGCAGCAGAAGCATTTGCCTTCCACGCTATTTGCTCTGGGCGTGGGGGGATGGCACACATGGTCAAGAGCATGGCGATTAAAGTCGGCATCAATGACTTCACTGCTTCGCTTGGTCTGTTGAATAATGGTGTAAGTCAAGAAATCAGAAAAAGGCTGCCACGTTTTGCATGCAGCACAAAAAATTGCGTGTGTGAGTAGCAACCAGTGATCGGCGGCCGGGACTGCAGCAACCCGGCAAGTTTACTAGTAAGAAATGTTACTAAGTGCTCCTCTCTTCCCGAGGAGTCAATCTCTTTTAAATTTGACCATGATATGTAAAAAAGTAATTACGATTATGACGTGTAAAGTATCGCTAGATTGATAATGAAATATACTTTCATAATAAATTTATTTAAAACATAAATATTGATATTATTTTCTTCGAACTTGGTCAAATTTTAAAAAGTTTGGACTCTTTGGGAAACGAGACGTGCAATAATTTGGGGACAGAGGGAGTATGTTATTGTGGCATAACATGTTATTATCCTTTTTTTTCTGTTTTGAACTTGTAAGATGTTTCCTACCTTCTAGTTTGTTTCAAATAAGATCACTGGTAGCGCCTGCGCTCTGTATTCCAGTTTTCAGGCTCTAGTTTTGACATTGTAGTCAGTTACCTTTTCAGTTTGGACATTGTAAGAATCATGAACTTGTCAACTTTGCAAGGCTCTGATGCTAGTACGACATAGTACATTTTGTGGAAAGATGCCTGTGATGCCCACTTGGGGCATGCCTTTGATAACGGACCACCACCATCAGGGAAGAGACACTGTGTCTACAGGTATAATTTCACTTCCATATACAGCCACATTGCACAATTTTTTGGTGGCACTAAAATCGTGCTGCCAGATCTGTGGTAAAGTTGAGAAAAATATTCAGTGTTTGGTAAGTAATTGTATTGATGAAAGCCTACACATACCTCTTATGTCTCCTCCCAAGTCGAGTCGAGATGTGGGTCGTTCTAGGCTTGTTTTAACTTTTCTTATATTAGATTAGAAGTTTATGTATCTTTTATTGCTTTCTTCCTTCTACACCTGCTTAATACAGTAGATGATAGTGCTCACATATACATGAATAAATCCTCCAGTCAAAAAATAGTCGTTACATTGTATTTTGTAACACTTGTTTTACTACTGATGTATATCTTCTATAATGTATTCTTAGAATCTTCCAAATTTGTGAGATTTTGCCGGTACTTTTCAATACAGATGTATACATATGTATCTTACATACATGTTTTGAAAGTAAATCATGTAGAAGTTTTTATGGTTGTAGTTTTAAGATTTGATGAAATCATGTCCTATACGACATGTTTTTTTGAAGGCACCGAGGTCATTTGTTTTTGTTAATGAATCTTAGAACCGGCGGGGACTCTGAAAAATTACTACATACAGTAGAATATTAATACTTGCCTCTAGCCCAGTAATTAGTATGAGTCATCTCTTTGTATAACCATGTGTTTTATATAATTTCAACACATTAATTTTTTTTGCACCATAAGATTAAGATCCAACAGCCTCCATTCTTCTTCTACCTCTAGCTTTCTTTTATCTTCAGACAATCACAAGATCACGGCGCTGACCTCGGCCTCGTCGTGGCTGCCCTCGTGGTGACTGAGCACGCGGCACGACGTCTGGGTGGCGCGAGGCGTGCGCCCATGGCGAAAGAGCGGGTCGGACGTCAGCGACCGCCATGACCGGCACACCAGCCGGAGGCGGCACACCTCATCGGCGGGGAGGCGGAGCAGGATGTCGTGCAGCACGTCCGTGGGTAGCTCGCCGTAGTTGGCGACGGCGAGCGGTGGAGCACCTGTAGCGGCGAGTTCCATCGTTGTTGTACCGAACGAAATAGCTAGCTAGATTGATTTGTTGGTGGTTCGATCAGGTGCATGTTGCTTGCCTGGTCTATTTGAGTTCCTATACATATCCATGGTTCGAACCAGGCCGTGGTCGATTCGAATTACTTGTTTAATTTTGAGCTGTCCGACCAGAACTCAGACTACGATCAGGCTCGATCTGAGTCGCTGATAATAGCATCGCCGATCAGGGTAACGTCGAAATTGTTTAGTCCACAAAAATCGTTTTTAAGTTGTAATTTTTTAGGTATATTACAATCTTTTGAAATGATCTCGGATGTTCATATCTATGACTTTGTTGGTGACAAGTTCTATAACAAAATAGTACTCCTTTGTTTCAAATTATAAGATCTTTCGGATTTTTTTTAATATGCAATTGTTTTTTACTATGCATCTAGACATATTGTATATCTAAGTGCACAGTGAAAACTATGTATCTAAAAAGGTTAAAACGTCTTATAATTTAGAATGGAGGAGTAGTTCTCAGTCTATGACTTTTTAGGTGACAAGTTTATGGTTGAAGTCGTTTTGAGTACTAAATTCCTATTTCGTGTTCTTAAATTGAAAATTTAGAATTTTTCAATAACTTTGAATGTTGAGAGATTCCATACCGAAGTTGTAGTTGTCAACGCGATCTATAGATTCTAGTTGATAAGCTTTTCATTCGAAATCATTTTGTCCCAAATATCTATTTTGAAATTCTCGGTTCTTGAGATTCAGATTTTTGATATTTTTCAAAAGACTTCGGATCAATACACACTCTATACCAAAGTTGTGGTGCTCGATAATACTTAAAACTTTGTAGTTAATGCTGTTTTCTTTACATTTGAGATTGTTGGTTGAGGCAAAATGGTAGCATAGTGTCATAGTGAGGAGGGGTAGGATGAGGGTAAGGGTAAGAGAGGCAAGGTAGGGGTGTGGATGAGGAGGCCATTGCCCATTGGAGCGGTAGAGGATGGATGTTTGTCATGGATAGGGAGACGATGATCTCTGATGATATTAGGATTGAGTGGTTATGGTGGAGGGCGAATGTGACAAAAAAAAGAGTTTAGAAGACAAGTCTTGATTAATTGAGGTGGGCATCCTAAATAAACCGCCTCTATTAATCAACTATTTACAACTGCGATCGTCTTAGGACGTAGGGCTTCTTAAGGGTGCCACCTTAAAGAGGCATGTCTCTAGAAATAGTTGCCCCATAAAACACTTAAAACTTTTTCATATGAAGTTCAATATTGGAGATAAAATTTATACCAAAATTGTAGAGCTCGATGTGATGTACAAATTTAGAGTTGACAAGGCTTTAATTTGAAAGTGTTTAGTCTCAAACATTTGTTTCAAGTCTCAGACTTTGAAATTGAAAATTGAAAACTTCCAAATCTTGGATGTGGGCATAGTATATAACAAAGTTGTAGTTCTCAGTATGATCTATGAATTTGTAGTCCACAAGTTTATGATTTGAAGTTATTTAGAGTCCTAATATTGATTTTATGTTCTTTGACTTGGAAATTAAAAATGTAGGATTTTCAAATGACTTCAAATATTGACATGTTATATGCCAAAGTTGTGTTTGTCAACACGATCTATAATTCTGTAGTTGATAACTTTTTTATTTGAAAATATTCAGTCCCAAATATTTTTTTTCAAATTGTCATATTATGGAAATTCAAAATTTTGAAATTTTTAAACGATCTTGGATCGGAGACATGCTCTACATAAAAAAATGTAGTGCTCGACAAGATCGAAAACATTTTAGTTAAAACTTTTTTTATTTAAAATCATTTATTTATAGGTTGAAACATCCACCACTACAATTTTTTACGGGTAATATAAAATCATTTAGGGGTCACAATATTTCTAGGAGACACTCATAGCAAAAGGTCAAGGGTTCGGATCCTATGATGTGCCCATGCATGTATTTGCGAAAAATTACATGACTTGTCCTAGCATTTTTTTTAAAAAAAAATGTTTTACTATTTTTTGGTCATTTTTTTTAGTTTTCTGAAATCATCAATAGAGCCACGTGACTTAAGATCCCTTTAATTTGTTAATTAATTCATAGAGACAACCAAGTTTTTTTAAGTCATTGATAGGGGTGGACTACTTAAAGCGTTCACCATTAATCAGTTTACTGAGGTCAGTAGGTTCTGAAATCATTAACGGAGACTGGGCACTTAAGACGTCAACTAGTAATCGATCTAGAGAGATGGTCTGTCTCTGAAAATCTAAAATATGTGTCTTTGGAAATAGTTTAGTACTACTAGTGAGAGCTGGGCGGGAGGTGGTAGAAGGGTGAGAACTCGGGAGAGAGAGAGAGAGGATCTAAACAAGGCCTATTGGGAATAGCGTGGCAACTGAAGAGCATGGCCAGCACTCAATTCTAGTTGCCGAGGCAATAATTTAGGGTTTTGAACTATTTAGTAGATTAAATTTAGTTTTCTGTGTCTTTTTGAGGTTTTGGCATTTTTCAGAGTACATGATAGGACGGGGGAAAATGTAATTGTAATTTGGGAATTCAGATTTGTGGTGGATCACAGAATCCATAGCAAATTCTAGCAATGTGCAAAATTTTAAAACCTATGGAAAACATTTCAGCGATTGTAACCTGTACACAAACAGTTCTGTTTTGATTGATATACAGAACGTTTGAGTTTGTTTTGGTTGTCTAAGGAGGCGTCGTGTGTACATAACTGAAAGTACTGTACTATCACGATTGTAATTTCTACTGTAATAAATAACTAAGGGGGTGTTTGCATAGTAAAAATTCCTTACTGTAGCATTTCGTTTGTATTTATGAATTATTGTCCAAACATTGACTAATTAAGTTTAAAAGATTCGTCTCGCAAAGTTAAAGTAAACTGTGCAATTAGTTTTTGATTTCGTCTACATTTAGTACTCTATGCATGTACCGCAAGTTTGATGTGATAGATAATCTTCTTTTTGCATAGTATACTTTTGAGGAGTTTGGAGGAACTAGGGCTAACGTTACTTGTCTGAGACTGCGAGTGGGCCAAAAGCTCAGGTACAGTTCCTGTCTTCGTCGTCAGGCTTTTTGCTTGCCTGTTTCCTGTTGGCACTGCCTTCTCCGTCCTAGAAAGACGTACTATCATTAGATTAGTCTAGTTATGTAATATATATTGTTATTACATTATAGTTACGTATTTATTTAAAATAATAATTATTAATAGTGTTTTTATAGATTTAATAAAAGTAAAATAGCTTGGTTTGGACAGAATGAAAAAAGAAAAGAAAAAACTACATGGCTGAACTACCGGGCGAGCATGGGTTTCTCTTCTTTTTTACCAGCCGGTGAGTCGGTGACAGACACGGACACGAGAGCGGTGTGAGCGTACTCTTGTGTTTCTCTTTTGCTCGGGGCGGGCCCCATGATAACGAGTACTAGATCATCCACCTAATTACCTGTTCGGCTTACTCTATATTCAACTTGTTTGACTTATTTTTTCAGTCGAAACAGTATTTCTCTCACAACAATTCAGCCAGAACACTATTAGCAAGCCAAACGGGAAGTCACTCGCCTTGTTACTTGTTACTGCATGCTGTGCGTCGATATGATCTACTACCGTACATTTCGCGATGATCGATGTGTCGTCGCGTAGTTATACACACACATATAAAAAACACATAGCTGCGTACAGATACAGGTCGTTCCTCGTGTGAAACCAAGCATAAGCCATCTTTATTTTGTCCTGCTCTGCTATCGCTGCTTCATTCTCAGATATCAATGCTGTTCAGCTTTTGGACTCTAATTCTTTCTTTCTTCCTTGCTTGCTTTCTTGGAGCATTGTGCAAGTTTTGTTCCGGTGCCAACTGGTACATCAGTATTTGTGGAGCCAAACCCAACAATCCTTCGTTCACAGACTGTTTTATTTATCTCCATTGTCTCCCAGCTCATCTACAGATACGGCCCTAGAGCACAGCACACTCTTGCCAAGCCAATGCAAGATGCTCATAATCCTGATAATCGCTCATACTCCTTTCCGTTGCTTCAGCGTTATGTCAAAAGGCACGCCCTGATTAGAACAGGATTTTCCTCCTGAACTCTGTTTTTTTTTTATACATGTGAATATGTGATACTCCAAACAGGTCACAAATTTGCATTGCAACCGCAACACTTCAGACAAACTAGTCAGAAAATTACCGGCAGAAAGATAAAGGCCACAAAAGAAACAAACCGTGGAAAATAAAAGGCAAAAAAAAGGAGACAAGTTTCCTCAAAAAAAAAAAAAAAGGAGACAAGATCTATGTACAACAGAACATGCCGATTAGGTTGTTGGTTCTGTGCCAAGAACCACTTTGACTTTGCTTGAGCTGAGGCTGCTGAGAGCACAAAAGAAGAAGATGAGAATCTGCACTTGTCCAGCCAGCGCACGCGCGCGCGCACACACACCCCTAACACAGTCTCATCAATCATGCATTCATGCACAAGCTTGAGCAGCAGCAGCTAGCATCATACTCAGGCTACTTCCTCAGCTCAGAGCTCCAGGTGCTGCTCGTAGCACAGCTCGCTCATGCAGGGGGACAGGATCTCCTCCTCCAGCATCTTCAGCACGGCGCTCATCGATGGCCGCTGCCCCGGGTCTGCGTCGGTGCACATCGCTGCGATGTCCAGGATGGCTTCCACGGCTTCCACCTCGACGTCGCCGCACCGCTCGTCGATGATATCCTCCAGCCGGTGCTCCCCCGTTAGGGTGTTCAGCTGCAAAAGCGGTAATGGATTTTGAGAATTTCACATGACTCTTACTCATTACTTACTTTTTATAAGGTAGAAAAGGTAAAGAAAAAAAAGAATCCTGCTAGTTACCCAGCCAACAATGTTCAGTCCCTTCTTGATGAAGCATGAGTCGGTTGGCCTCTTTCCGGTCACCAGCTCCAGCAAAAGCACTCCAAAGCTATACACGTCTGATTTCTCAGTAGCATGCCCATTTTGCAAGTACTCTGCCACCAAAGTCAAAGTAACCAACCAGTTTCAGTTTCATCAACTGGAGCTGCCCAACATTATGTCTTGAAATACATGTCTACAAATTACAATTTCCTACTAAACATTTTTTACTGTTCTTGTTTAACTTTGTGCTGTTCGTAGTTCTGCCCTACAAGATGCGTTTTCAATCTTATGTTCCAGTAAAACTATACAACTTTCTTCTGTAAGCTCTTGATGTGCGATTCCAACTGTATAACTACTAGATGGTTTTTCACTGTGTAGAAATCACAACGATATCGTTCAACTGGCAAGATTAGAGATGTACCTGGTGCTAGGTAACCAAAGGTGCCCGCCACGACAGTGGTGACATGGGCGGCATTGTCTACAAGCAGCCTTGCAAGGCCAAAATCAGAGACACGAGGCTCCAAGCTTCTATCCAGCAGGATGTTACTGGCTTTGATGTCCCTATGCACTATCCCAGGCGAGCAGTCATGGTGCAGATATGCCAGACCTCGAGCCGAGCCAAGGCCGATTTTCATACGCGCATTCCAGTTCAATGGTTGGTCCTCTTGTTCATCTCCTGCCGTAGGCACCACCATGTAAGCAGGAGATAAGAAGGCACTACACCAGTGTAAAAAATTGTAATCGTTATCATGCCTGGAGATGCAAGAATGTAGCATGCTTACCATGAAGGTAGCAATCCAAGCTGCCCAGTTCAACAAAATCATAAATGAGTAGCTTTGCTGTGGGGAGCCGGCAGTAGCCTCGCAAATTGACAAGATTTATGTGCCTGATGCTACCCAGAATCTCGAGCTCCTTCTCGAAGGTCCTGTCACGACTTTCGCGGCTGAGGTCAATCCTCTTGACGGCAAATGATGTGCCATCATCCATCACCATCTTGTACACCGTGCCAAAACCCCCACAGCCAACTACATCCTCTTCATCAAGCAGCTCCAGCCTTCTAATAATCTCACTTGACGAATATGGAAGGTTCCACTGGTATGTCACAAGCTTTGCACCTAAATGATCACCGCATCATATGTAAAAATAGTGGTTAGTGGCTGTAATTGGCATCAGTTTTTTTTTTTTTGGTGTGGAAACAGTAGGAAATGGTGTCAATTCATTACCTTCAGGAACAGTTTGCTTGTCCATCTTTACATAGTTTCCACCAATGCTCTTTTTCCTGGACAGCAAGCAAACCCATAGGAATCCAAGTACAGCTATCAAGGCAAGAGCCAAGGTTGACATTGAGCCGATCACAATGCCATTCAGAAAGTGTGATGTCTTGTTGTTATTGATTGGAGAAACACCTATTTGAACCAAAAACAAATAACTCCACCAGTCAGTCACACACATTGCACGTCCACCAAAATCTTGAAAAAAACAGTTCAACACTATGATCGAATAGAAATGGAAGACTTGCCAGCTGAAGAGAGCGGATCGGAGTGCGGCAGCACAGCAGGAAAGCCAAGGGTTCCACGGCAAGCTTTCTGGATGGACAAGCCACAAAGCTCCAGATTTCCAACGAACCTGCATCACGTGAAGAAATGCACAACAACAATAAATACAGCTATCCAACATCATAACTAGGAACACGCAGGTAAAGAAGGGACAAAGGAGCTTACGAGCTGCTTTTGAAGGTTCCGAGGACACCAACATTTGGGATCTCTCCGGAGAAGAAATTAGTAGACAGGTTCCTGGCACATGGTAAGTGCGTGCCGTCTCATCAGTTTTTACTTTTACATCATCAGGATTGTGTTTCCAACAAGGGCATGTGAAAATGGCACACGAAAACTTACAGAAAGCGAAGGTGAGTAAGACTTCCAATCGAGGCCGGTATTGTGCCCCTCAACAGATTGCTTGACAGGTCCCTGCAATTTGAACACATTAGATAAAAATAATAATAAAGCTGTAAAATTAAACACAAGCAGACAATGAGAATGTGAAGGACCATACAAGATTGTGAGGTGCACGAGCTCGCCAATCTCTGAAGGGATGCCTCCTTGCAGGTAGTTGGCTCTCAGGTAACTGAACATACACACACGGTTAATTAAAAAATAAAAAAGCAAACGTTTGAACACTCTGCCGAGTTCAATACTAGTAGTAATCAAATCATACTAGTAGTAATCAAATCATACTAGTAGTATCTTACATTGCCCTGAGCTCGGTGCAGTTCTTGATCTCTGCAGGGATTGGGCCATGCAAGCTGTTCTGGTGCAGAGCTCTGAAAAGGGAAAAGGCCCATCCGTCAACACTCAACAGGCAGCAGCATAAATACATTCAGAGGCAGCACACAAAAAGAAAAAGACAATGCAGTTGGTATCACAGATATGGCTGCCCCTTTTATTCAGGGAAATACAATACTCTACTACATCTAACAGAAACAGCGAAGAATAAAACATTTGGTCCTAGAAATCGTTCAAACAAGTCTTACAGTCTCTGCAGCTTGTCGAGCCTCCCGATGCTGGGCGAAATGATGCCCCCGAGCTGCATGTATGGGAGGTTTCTGCACAGAGAAGAGCACGCACGCGCATGGCGCATTATTGTCATTGTTATTCATCAGTGCCAAAGCAAAGCAAAGCAGGGGGCAAGGAAGGAATCCAAGAAGAAGGCGTTGGTAGCCGAGCCATGAGCACACATTTGGGGGGACATCTGATTCAAATAACCGAGGCAAGAAAGAAAAAAAAAAAAGAAACAAAGAAAAAAAAAAGGAAAGGGGGAAATGTTAAGAGAATATGGAAGGGAGAGAAGAAGCTAGAAATGGGAAAAGCAAGCAGATGAGGCGAGGAGGAACGCACATGGATTGGACCCTGAGGTCGGGGACGGAGCAGGAGATGCCCTCCCAGCCGCAGGGATTGGGGTCGCTTGGCCGCCAGCTGGTGAGCCGCTGCACGGTGGCGTTGAAGGCCAGCTTCAGCTCCAGCAACGCCTCGCCTGCAACCAAACCAAGCAAGCAAACAAGAAACAGTGGGTCAGCACTCAACAACAGAGGGCACAGCAATAGCATCGCGGGGCTGGCTGAAGGAAATGCAGCAAGCAGACGTACCGTCCGGGGTGAGGGCCATGGCGGCGGGCGTGGAGGAGAAGCAGAGGCAGAGGAGGAGAACGAAGGCCGTGGCGGCGAGGGCGGCGCGCAGGCCCGCCGGTACCGGTCCCGGTCCCCCCTGGCAATGGCTGCTTCTCCCCTTCCTCTTCCTCCTCCTCGACTCAATCTTGTCCATGGCGGAGGCGGCGGCGGCGGCGGTGGTGGCGGCTTCTCTCTCCTTGTCCTTGGGTGTTGGGAAGTTTTGAAGGAGGGGGACAGTGGAGTGGAGTGGAGTGTGCAAGGAAGAAAGGACAGAGGACTGAGCTGAGACTGGAGTGTAGTGACCCGAGCGCGCCTTTAATTAGTCTGAGCTCTGACGGAAAAAGGCTGACCCCCGTGACTCGGCCCACTGGCGAGTGGGTCCACATGTTGTCCGTCTGCTTGGGCCCTGATGTCAGTGAGAAGCGCCGCGTAGGGACGGACGATGAGCTAGTACTACTGTATGCTTTTGTTTGTATGATTTTCTCCCTCCCCAAGAACAGAGAAGGCGCTGGCCTTGTGGTTGTGGAGGATGTAAAATACTCCTACAAAGATTTGAGTAATTTTTAAAAGCTTTTATGCTATACTATAAGGCTTTCCTGCTTGAGAAAAGAATGTGATAGATTGTCAAGGTCAAAGTATTGTCGTTACAACTATAAATCCGATTAGTTGTTCATAGTAGTTTTAGTCCATATTAGATCTTATGCGGCATAATCTAAGTCAGCGTAAAGGTATACAGTATATTGATGTTTGGATATTCTACACAGGGAAATCGTATTTGATAAATTTGTGTTTGGTGTAGTCACCTTCATGTTCTAATTGAGATCCCATGCTTCTAGCAGAGGTACGAGGGATAAGAACATTCCATTATGTGTATGTATCAGCTTTGTAAAAACTACTTTATCTAATATGATTAAATCTAGTGTACTAACTAATGCAACAGTGGACCTGCCTTGATCACTGTGTAACTTTTTTTTAAGGAAACAGGAGGGGTTGCCCCCCTACTGGACTCAATGTGTAACTTTGTGTAAGAAGAACAAGCAAACTGTACTGCATACAGAAAACTAATCAAACTTATATGTTGAGTTGTTACGGTGAATAATGTTTCCAAAACCCAACTCATATGTATGGTCACGTATCAATTTGGTTTTGAGATTCTACACGGTTATGTTGTCGTAATCATAAACAATCACCCCCTACTCGATCGGCTTTTTCTACAAATGCCATCATAACACGCAAAAATGCTTAATTCTAGTGATGGTTTTGTCCAACATGGAGCTGTTAAAAGGCTAAGGTAGGCGAGCCAAGCTTTGTTTTGATGTTTGGATTCGTTAAATAAATGAAGTATGGCTATCGTAAACATGATGTTTGACGAAAACGAACGGAGATGAAACATTCGAATGCGTGCGTGGAAACTGCTACCGTTTGAATGTACTCCTACGTTAATGCTACTCATCATCGGATTCGGATCGGATTGATTCATTATCGCGGGGGTGGAGTAATGAATGAATTTCTGGCCTGGCCCACCACTCAGATGAGATGAGATGAGAGACAGGTGCCGGATTGGCCTCGTACGGACCGGACAGCGGACAGGAGAGTCCTCGACCAAACCAAACTAGCCGTTGAAGATGAACACAACTGTGTGAGGGAGGCTACCTAGTGTATTTATTATTATTGGTCAACAAATGGTTTATGGGTTGAGAAAAATGATTTTCACTATATCGGTATATATAGATCCTTTTCAAAAAAATATCAATATAATGTTTATTTATACAAGGACCTTGGATGAAAAATTTGCAAAGTTCATACAACACGCGGAGTATGTGATAAACTATGTTCAAACAGATCGCCTATCTAGAGCACATTAGAGCATCTCCGAGAATCTTTCTAAATCTCACTCTCTAAATCAATATTTGGAGAGTCATTTGCATAAAAATCGTTTTCTATATCTTTTCACTCTCCAACAACTTTTCTATATCCCATGTGCACTCTATAGAGCCATTCTCGTCTTCTATTTTTGGCTAGCGAAAAATTCAGAATAGAAGATTGCTATATTTGGATGACCATTTAGAAAAGCTGTTGGAGGGTAGTTTTTCACCAAAATCTTTATTCCTAATATTTAGGAAGAATATGGAGAGTCTCTTGTAGATGCTCTTAAATAGATATAACCTGACAGCAATGCAATAATCCATTTATCGAGAGCGCTCCAGACTTATGCCCAGATATCAAAGTCGTTTTGCCACAAAACCGGTTCTAGAAAAAATTTGGCGATGAGTGAATGAGGGACATAGGAGTATGGAAAGACTAGTGCGCGGATGTCCGGACGGTTGCGCGTGTCTGATGCCCACGCCTGCTCCGCCCTTGTCTCTTGGATTCGCGCACCGCCCGCGTCAGCTCCGCATCCTGCTTCCGCGCTCGGACCGCTCCTTTCCACTCCGCTACCCACGCCGCCCGTGCCAGCTCCGCTTCCTGCGTCCGTATTCGGACAGCTCCCTTCCACTCCGCTGCCCATGCTGCCCGGATGACTCGGCCCTGTTGCTTCTACACTGATGCCTCGCCCCGCCTCTTCCACAGGGCTTCACTCCCACATCTTCCACGCCACTCGAATGACTCCCCGCCTCTTCCGCAACGGCACTGGGCGGCTTGCGCCTCCTCCCCACATCGACGCCACCATGGCTCCCGCGCTATGCCGCTAGCTCTCTCTTCCTCGCTCAATAATCCTACATCCAGATCTACTTTTGCAATGTTCAGATAAAACAATTGCAATATACGTCTGAAACAGATGAAACATTTGGAACATATGTTACAGCATATCCAACATCTAGATAAAACACTTTGCAACATATGTCCTAAACCCTATAACCACGACAACATGTGCAACATCCAAAAACTACGATTGCAACATCCATATGAAACATCTGAAACATACCTCTGAAATACTTCAAACATGCGTTTTGCATCATAGGGAAGGCCGGTGGCGCACGAGTGCCACCAGCACCAGGACCAGCGCGAGGCGCGCGAGCACCACCATCGTCAGCGCTAGCACTGGCCTTGGCTTAGCGGGGCAGGCGCCTTGTGCGACGGGAGGGAGGGAGCGAGGCGGAGTGGGGTGGCGGCAACGAGCGCGGAGTGGGGCGGGACGGGCAACGCGGGTTTAGGCGCGGGGCGCACAACATAGGTGAGCGGCGTGGGTGGGTCGGCCCGTCCCGATGGACGAACGCCCGTGGTGTATCATTATCGAGTTATATAGCGATGACACTCTTTGCTTAGCGTAGGTATAAGCGTGTAAAAGAGCCCATGGCCCAATGGTTCAAATTTCTCAAGTAGAGGTTTCATGTCCTTATTTTCAAGACGTCCAATTGTTGGAAAAGTGCAAACAAGTTTTATCCTCATGAAACTCATTTCATCCATTAAAACTTCTATCACATCTCTCTTCATTTATATCATGTCATGTCAGCTCGTTTAATGTCTATGAAAGTCACACCGAGACTGGTCTTATAAAGAAACCTCTCCTCATCGGCAAAGCCAGTGTTTGGTAATTTTCATTGGTTAGCAAGATTGAGTCCTTCCATCTTAATTTTTCTTTAGTTAGCAAGGTTGAGTCCTTCTATCTTAATGCCACGTGGAATCATATCCTCAGCTGATTACTTTTTTATGGGCACCGGGTCCCTTTTTATGGCATCCGTTCCGGTTCTCCCTTGCAAGAAAGGACATTGGGGTGCTGCTTAACAATGGTGGTGGGTCCGGACTCCGGCGGCAGGATGGCAGCAGGGCCCGGGCCCGGGCCCGGGCCCAGGCACAGGCAGGACGTGCGCACGGCCGCAGAAATCGGTAACGGTGTCTGTCACGACCACCACGACGAGACGACATTTTAATAAATAATTCGTCCTGCCACTGCTAGCTAGCGCACAGCCACAAATCCACGGTTCAAATTAAATGATCTTTTGTGAAGATTTTCGAATCTATGGATCACATACCTTATATAAAATTTGGTGCTATTGGATTCATATTTTGAAAAGTAATAATTTCATAGGACGACGTCGATAGATGTTCTGCAACATGCAACGTGGCGTCGTGCGTGCGGACGGTTCCCAGCAGAAACGGGGAAAAAATTCAGTGCATCCAGGGCTGAATGGATACAAACGCCAATCTGCTGCCACGTGCTTTGGTAGATAACATCAACGGCATGTGCTCATCTTGTTACAAAGAAAAGAAAGAGCCGAGCTCCTGTGCGTCAGATGCTGTGGGTGGATACGTGTCCCACATCGAAGGTGTGTTTGCATAGCCGGCTGTGTGCATCCAGTATGCACTTGATTTTTTTTCGGCCGGAAACGTGCACGACCACGACCACAACTAGCCGTTGATGACGCGACTGGAACGGGAACGGGAACGGGATCGCCTGTCCCTGGCCTGGGAGTGGGACCCGTCTTCTGTCTGATGAAACCAACCAACCACTGCTAAAGTGCTAATGCTATGCTATGCGCCAACGTACATGCAGACAATCTACTCAACGGTTTACCTACTTCCTCCGCTCAAAAGAAATAAAACAATATAATTTTGATTCCAGAGAAGTTAATCAGTTTAACTAGTTTTCTAGACAAAAGTCAGCACAAATAAGTTTGTTATAACATAATTATTCTAACAGGATGTCCGTCCCCAACGGTTATCCGGACGTGGCCACGCGGCCCCGATACGCGACACTCCCGCTCCCTTATCTTATCCCATCCCGTGACCACGTCCGCTCCCTTATCCCATCCCGTGACCACGTCCGCTCCCTTATGCGCTGCTGCCCTGTGCACCAAGGCCGTGAGATTCCGCTGCCGCCCTGTGCATCGACACCGAGCTGCCCGAGAGGAACCCTGCCGGTCGCTGACCACGTCCGCTCCCTTATCCCATCCCGTGACCACGTCCGCTCCCTTATCCCATCCCGTGAGCCCCTGCTCCCTTATGCGCTGCTGCCTCAGGCGCCAAGGGCGTGAGATTCATTTGCCACCACTGTGCGGCGTCGACACCAAGCCGCCTGAGAGGAACCCGCGGCCGCCGCCTCAGCGTGCCCCGCCTACCCCAGCGGTGCTACTCAAGACACCACGCCATCGCTTCACGCCCCGCCTAGGCTCACACTTGTCACCGAGCCGGTGAAAGGTCCTAATGGCTAGA